CCATACTATTATGTTCAAAGCTATTTTATCCAATTTCTCATCAATTTAAATCACTTGACGCACTTTAGAGTGTAATACCGTCATTTTCACGCCTATAAGCGCTTCACATTTTATATAGATTGGCAATCTAATGTCTAATTTACCTTCCAAAGTTAACTCCACATACTATTTCTTTATGCAAAATTTCTAATCTACCGTTCAATGGCCATTACATGCAAGTAACGTAACTTAAATTGATGAAAAATTGAATAAGTAGCTTCGAATCTAATATTAGAGATGTAATTGACAAATTTTTATAATTCAATAACTAATTTTTCTGAAAAAAATAATAATTTAGGAATCTAATTTTTACTCAAGTGATAATTCAATGATTAAACAAACAGCTCATCCTATAGAATAATCTGTCACTTCATTCTTTTTTGTTTTCTTTACCTTTAATTTTGAGAAGAAAAAAGACGACCACCGAAATAAGAAACATGTTGAAATGTTCATCTTAAGTTGTACACGTTCATGTAAAGACGCATGGAAAGTTTTGATTTTGTTAGACTGAGAGATTCTACGAACAATATCTATTTGTCGTCACTCATGATGTCCAATATGCACTCAACCGGTGTCACAAGCATTCTCCCTTCTCCTTCTCCTTCTCATTGAGCATTCTTACCAACATGCTTGAACCAAATTTTGCAACTAATGAGCAAACTAGATTGAGCTAATAAGGTGCACCATATTCTTCTATTCTTCAAGACATACTCATGAGAGATTAAGACATCAACAACGTTCAACATTTAGCAGTATCTCTTCCCTCTTAACACTTCTACAACTAAAAAATAAGGAGGAAAAATGGCGCAGTCCACCAATACGCTTGAACCAAATTCCGCATCATCTGTGTTGGCATCATCCTCTTCCTCAGCCTGAAAAAACACAACACTCTTCTAAACACGATTACTAATTGTGAAAATAATTTTGGAGTACTCGAATAAATCACTTTAATGAAAAACTATATTTTTACACTAAAATGTCAATTCTGATACTTTCACTTTACCTTTTATTTTGTCCTTATCATTAAAACTCAAAGTTTTTAAGCTCTTTTCATTAGTTTTCTTTAAAATTTAGTATAAATTATCTTATTGTTTTTTTCTTTTTGGTCAAAAGTACTTTTTATTACAAAAAAAAAAAAAACTTTACAATCTGACAAAAGCCCAAGGCTAACATACTAACATCCAAAAAAGGGCCACAACAGACCAACACATCCCAAAAGCTAAGATACAATTAGGCCCAAAACGCAAAACACAAACACTGAACCTAGAAACTTCTACCGTCTCCTTTGCTGCTAGAGGTCATCCCAAGCCGTCCAATTCCCCTTGCACAGTTAAGCAATACCTCACCAAATGCCACAGGAAACTCCAATCTGCAACTTGTGCACAACCATACAGTAAGGATAGCCAGCAACCAAACAAGATAAGCCAACTGTCGAGATGAAGTTCGTGGAGATCCACGAACGACACTGCCGAAAAAGGCAGATAACAAGAAGAAAGTGGTGGTGTTGGAAACACTCGAGCCAGTGAAGCTACTGGAACTCTACACATAATCTCAGTAGGTTGTATGGCTGAAGATCGGAATATGGATGAACACATAGGATAGATACCGTCTGGGAAGGAGAAACCGGACATAACAGTGTAATAACCAAGGCTAAAAAATAGTAGGAGTAAGGAAAACAGATAAGAAGGAAAGAGAGGGGAGGACGGCGATCGACCCCGGGCGAAGCTAAGGGCGGTGCCATTGGTTTTACTGAAATTTAGAGGCCTCACATGAAAGGGTGAGAAAAACTCTCAAAAAGGGAGAATGACTCTCACTAGAGAGAGGAAAACCCAGGTTTAAAAAAAAATAGATATATAATAGTCTCTAATTATCTTATTGTTTATATAAAATATAATGGAGAGCTGATTAGTTCTCTGAAATATCACCGCAATGAAAATCAGATATTTGAATTATTTTTTTCATAAAATAAGTCCCTAAATTCATTAAAAATTGTTAATTTCATCCATACTATTATGTTCAAAGCTATTTTATCCAATTTCTCATCAACTTAAATCACTTGACGCACTTTAGAGTGTAATACCGTCATTTTCACGCCTATAAGCCCTTCACATTTTATATAGATTGGCAATCTAATGTCTAATTTACCCTCCAAAGTTAACTCCACATACTATTTTTTTATGCAAAATTTTTAATCTACCTTTCAATGACCATTACATACAAGTAACGTAACTTAAATTGATGAAAAATTGAATAAGTAGCTTCGAATCTAATATTAGAGATGTAATTGACAAATTTTTCTGAAAAAAAAAAATAATTTAGGAATCTAATTTTTACTCAAGTGATAATTCAATAATTAAACTAACAGTTCATCCTATAGAATAATCTGTCACTTCATTCTTTTTTGTTTTCTTTACCTTTAATTTTGAGAAGAAAAAAGACGACCACCGAAATAAGAAACATGTTGAAATGTTCATCTTAAGTTGTACACGCTCATGTAAAGACGCGTGGAAAGTTTTGATTTTGTTAGACTGAGAGATTCTGCGAACAATATCTATTTGTCGTCACTCATGATGTCCAATATGCGACTCAACCGGTGTCACAAGCGCCAGAACAGAAGAGCAAAGAAAATGAGCCATCAATTTTCTACTTTTCTCCGGCATATTTGTTTTGGGTTTGGTTTTTGAATTCTCTTTTCTTTGTTCAAATTTTTGTGATTTTAAAACCCCTTGGTGGCTACAGATTTCATCGGCTATTTCATCAGTTTTTGGATTCGATCAGGATCGGTTTTTTACCCACGAAATCTAGAGTCTTCTGGTAAGTTTCGTGACTTTCTCCGTGTTGCTGTTTCAAATTTTGTTTTTGTGGTTTTCGATGTTCACATGGATTTTTTGTTTGAATTTTGTATTTGTGATTTTGCGGGTTGTTTTGAATTTACAGATGGCTTTTTCTAGGTTCGGTGAATTTACAGGGGAGAGGGAGAGAGAGGCCTGTTGATTTAAACTCTTTTGCTAAAAGCTTCTAATTCATCCTTTATTTCTTTTTTCATCTGGGCAAAATTTTTGATGGATTTATGTATTTTTTTTTTCCGTTGAATTAGAACTCCAATCTGAATTATGGATTCAGAAAAAAAAAATTGATGAATTTTTTATTTGCGTGCATGTCGGTCCTATAATCGCATGATTTGATAATCCGACCGCAAAGCTAATCGTTTCTGTATGTTTTTGGGTTGCAGACCTGGACTGTCGAATGGAGAGGATGAAAAGCAACTGCAGGAAAGCGGCAATGGAGACCCGGCATCAGCATTTTCAAGTCGATCTGGGTAATCTCATAGCCTTCAACCCTCATCACAGATTCCCCCCCCATCCCCTTCTCTAAGTTATTTTTCTTTACTTATTCAATCTCTCTATTTTTTGGTAATATTTTGTATACTTCTGGGCTTTTTGAAATTATTGCTTTTGAGAAATTAATTGAAAATTTACTTTTTGAAATTGGGATTTTATTTGCATTAATCCCATCAGTAAAGTGGCAGTCATAAGTGAAATAATGAATTTATCACACTATGCTGATGGGTTTTTGGTCAGTGGGTGAAATTCTGATTTGTTTTTTTCATGGTATTTAAGGAGGAATTAGTGAAGGAATTTATAAAGAGAGGGACCGAGTTGGTTTAAGCTATTGCGAATAGTCTTATCAACTCACATTCAACTGAAGGCATAGATGGTCCCATTGTGCACATGTTCGCTTCCTGAAACGAAAAATTGAATAAGTAGCTTCGAATTTAATATTAGGGATGTAATTGACAAATTTTTATAATTTAATAACTAATTTTTCTGAAAAAAAAAATTAATTTAGGAATCTAATTTTTACTCAAGTGATAATTCAATGACTAAACTAATAGTTCATCCTATAAAATAATCTATCACTTCATTCTTTTTTGTTTTCTTTACCTTTAATTTTGAGAAGAAAAAGACGACCACCAAAATAAGAAACATCTTGAAAAGTTGTACACGTTTATGTAAAGACGCGTGGAAAGTTTTGATTTTGTTAGATTGAGAGATTCTGCGATCAATATCAATTTGTCGTCACTCATGATGTCCAATATGTGACTCAACCGGTGTCACAAGCGCCAGAACAGAAAAGCAAAGAAAATGAGCCATCAATTTTCTACTTTTCTCAGGAACCAATGGACCATCCATCCAACACACAACCGTTGATTACTGGACATTTGAAACCGTTGATTACTGGAAGATGTTGTACTGAATTTCACTGACTTTCTCATGATTTCAGGTTGCAACGAGTCCGTCTTCTTTTCTTTTATACAAAGTGACTACACAGAAAAACCTAATAACCCTAAACAGAGATTCACCCGCCGCCTCAGCCACCGCAAAATTGGTGGAGATGACTACCGAACAGAAAATCCAAGAGAAACCTCCGTAGAAAACAAAACTCAAACCCATCTTTGTCTCAACGCCGATGAAAAAGAGCCAAATCTGCAGATCAAGATGAACCATACCCATTCCGGTCGCCACAGTTCCGGTCCTCAACTTAAAACAAACACACAATAGGCATGTGAATGCCTAGAACCAAGCAGCAACATAAAAAGGTCAGGTGGTGTAAACACCAATTCGAAAAGATACCAGACCTTTGTAGGGGTGACAACATATAGTTGTCTTCGATTGGATAGATGCACGGATAAAGTAGCGAGTAAGTGTTGAGATGAGATCCATCAAATATGGAGTTGATGGGTGTGAGGGGTTGGATGGTTGATTCGAAGTTTTGGAAGAGTTTGAGTGCAAAGCCCCAAATCAGAGGTATGATACCTTGAAACATGGGGAAAAAACCCAAAGACAAATCTCCATCCGCACCACTCGTAGATGGTGGGTTGCTCCACAGAGCTCCATCCACAACACTCGTGGAAAGTGGGTTGCTCTACCGTTCCCTAACACGAATTAGGGCCATCGCAGGTGCAGGGAAGTAAGAGGATGAGAGAAACATGAATAAGGAAGAGGATACGAAAGGTTAAAAGGGTGTCTGCCACCAGCCCTAAGCAGAAGCTAGAAGCCGGCTGCTGGGGAGAGGGTAAAGTTTGGGGTTTCTTCTAGGGTTTGAGAACGAGATAGAGAATAAGTATTTCTTGTGCACAAACATTCACTTGAGAAATAAGTTCGGTTTTGGATAGATTAGAATCAACTGTATATTATTTTCGATTTAAGTCAATCTAAATATCGACAGACCCACTCAGGGGCAAGGGAGTGAATCTCTATGAATGATTTGGGTGATGGCGCTTTAAAGGTTAGAGTTGCTCTTCATATATTGCCTTTCAATTGTTTGATAAAATGCCTCAAATAAAAGCTTGGGTTGTTGGCCAGTAGGGCAGGCTTGGATTTGCCAGCAACCCACGTGGATGTCATGCGCGCAACACCTATGTTGTTTGCCGCACCCTGCCACTCTTTTTATTTTTAGTATACTTGGACAAAACAACGTTGTTCTGGACCAGATTACTTTATAGAAAACATTAAACAAATTATATAAGGCATCTTTTACCAAAGAACCATACCAGCATTGGCTTATAACAAAAAAAAAAAATAAAAAAAAAAAAACCAGATCCGCATCAAACCCCAAGAATTAAGAAACCCAATTCCAGTTCAAATTGTCAAATCCCAATTCTCCCCAGCTCAATCCCTAACAACCAAACTCCTACCACTCCACTCCGATGATCATTCTAACAACCACCTATATTCCATCCTTCAAATTCCAAAGTAAGTTCTTCATAACTTATTCAAATTAATTTCTATTTTTTTTTTAGTGAGTTGGTTAAAAAAAATGTTTCTTTGTGAATAATTAAATTTGATGATTGATGTGGATCATAACTTATGGTTTTTATTTAGATGAATTGATATGTGTGTTTTAGTGTTTGTGTTGATAAAGTGATGAAAGTTTTTATTTGGACTATTGAATGAGTTAAGTTTTGTGTTGTGATTGGTTTGTATGACTTTATCAAATTTGAGTAATCCGTAACAAAATTGGTAGACTTCAAATTATACAGTTATGTTACGATATTATAAAAAACAATGTACAAATACTACCATGGACAATCCGGGTAGTTCAAGTTCAAACGAAAGTGAGTTAGAAAAATTGTGGCTACTATTCCGGCGGATCTTGGAACTCGACCTTCGATGTCAGATTATGAGCCTAATATTAGAGATCAAGTCCGAAGAGCTTATTTACAAAAAGTGTATTGTTGGCCTGTACTAAAGCCTTTCCACGAAGACTTTTTTGGAGTTCCTCATCTCTTTCATTCCGATTGGTACGATGAGTTTCATTGGCTAGAGTATAGTATCAACAAGGATGCCGTGTAACCATGTGAGTGCCAATAAATATGATTTATTGATTTCTTGTCAATCATTTAACTTGGTTAACAAGTTAGTTGGTGTTGAGGAAATTATGGAATCTTGTTTTAATTAAGATTTGGAGTCCTTATTTTGTGCAACTAATCAAGAGGCCTTATTTGGTTAGACAAAATATCAATATCAATTAGGACTCTAATGTTATCCTATGATTTGGCAAATCCCCACTAATCAGTTAAAGGCCGGATTAGTGGGAGTATTTTCACTATACATAGGCAGGCCTTGCTTTCACAAAATACATGTTCGATTCTGAGCAAACCCTATTATTGTTGGAGCACTTTTGCTTGCTGAAAGTAGAAGACTCCTTCAAAATCCTGGCAATCATGGCTTCTTCTTCCTCCAGTTTATCTCCCTTTTATGTCAGTTTGGTTTATCGTATTCGTGATCCAAATGTCTTGTTGTTCTTATGGTTTCAGAAATATCTTAATACGATACCAGAGCAACACAACAAGCTTAGGTCTGATTAATAGGTAATTTGTTAAATTGAAAATTTGTAGATAAATAATATTACAAAAGCATAATTTGTGTTTATCGTTCGGTTTGATATCTTTTCTAATCAATCATTTAAGACTTCATAAACATGCTTCCGCAATTTTGTATCAAAATTACATAATAATTAAGTTTCGAGCACTGGCGTCAGTGATCATGGTTTGGATTCTTGGCCATAACGACTTTTCTTGCCAAATTAAAATTTTGATTTAATTATGCTTTCAGGTTAAATTCCCTTATATATTTCTTTTTATTTTTGGATTGCGTTACTAGGTTTGATTCATCTGTTTGGGAATGATTAATTCTACATTCTTAGTGTTATCAGTGTGTTTTCAGGGTTTGACTGGATTTGTGGCAATTGTTTCTTTTAACAATTTTAAAAGTTTGGACAGGATTATACTATCTTGGGAATTAAAGTTAGGACTTGAATATACTATCTTGGGAATTAAAGTTAGGAAACATAATAGGGGTTCCGCTTTGTGTCAGTCACATTATATAGAAAAATTGCTTCTTAAGTTTAAGCATCTACAAATAAAAGAACCAAAAACCCCTTATGACCCTAGTGCAACTTTGCTTAATAATTCTGGTAGGTCCGTTGCACAGCTTGAGTATGCTAGTGTAATCGGAAGTTTAATGTATGCCATGCATTGTACCAGGCCTGATATCGCATTTGGAGTAAGCAAACTTTCTAGATACACTAGTCATCCAAGTACTGCTCATTGGAAAACAATAAATAGAATTTTTGGTTATCTTAAAATAACTATAAACCTGAGTTTAACTTACTATGAGTTTCCAGCAGTACTTGAAGGATATTCAGATGCAAGTTGGATAACAAGTGCTAATGATAATAAGTCTACATCAGGGTGGATTTTTGCAATCACCGGAGGAGCAATATCTTGAGCTTTGAAGAAGCAAACATGTATAGCACATTCAACTATGGAATCTGAATTTATAGTATTAGCGGCAGCAGGTAAAGAAGCGGAATGGATTAGAAATTTGTTATTGGAAATAGAGTTGTGGCCACAACCAATGCCATCCATTTCTTTATACTGTGATAGTAAGGCTACTTTGTCTAGAGCATACAATAAGGTATACAATGGAAAGTCTAGACATATTAGCTTGAGACATGAATATGTCAAGCAATTAATAAATGATGGAGTTATTAATATTGTTTATGTTAAATCAAGTAATAACTTGGCAGATCCGTTAACGAAAGCACTTTCAAGAGCTTTGGTAGTTAGTACATCTAATGGAATGGGGTTAAAACCCTTTACTGAAAATTAGCCACCGATAATGGTAACCCGACTTTCTCTAGAACATCACTAGTTTAAAAGTTTAATGGGTAATAACAAGTTATTGATAAGTGGTTGTAAAAGCACTAAAAATTAATATATAGCTCATTCTAGGATGATTAGTGCAAGTTTGCTACGTTTAGGAGGATGAGTTTTATCTCTTAATGAGGTTATTTGTAGTTATGTCTATAGTAGCAGGGACATGGGCAGGAACCTCACCTATATGAACATAAGAAGTGGTCCTGCTTCTGCCAGGAGTTGGGTTTTCTCTTGTAAATGTTTATGAAACCAGGATGAAGCACAAGGCCATAATAATGCTTAATTAGTTCAGAAATTTCTTTAAGGAAATAACATATAATCATGTGTGTAGTGATTCCGGTTTTAACATAAGAATAGGTGGTTTAAACTTAGGTCACCATCGCATTCGTTATAACTTTGAATTACTTACACTAATTAAAGGTTTAATTCGAAAGACACCTTTATTATATGCATGATTATATCGGTATGCTTGTGATTAATTTAAAAGAGAGAAGTATTGTAATACCATTTATTATATATTCTTAAAATAGGGAAGGATTGTTGAATATTTCAAGAATATATATATGATTTGGTGCTGCATTGTGCAGCGTGTGTGTGTATGATAAAGGGTGCTACAGTGCGCAGCAAATGTAATTAGTTGAATGGTTACAACTTTTAGTTAAAAGACATGATGCTTACTGAAATTATATGAGTAGAATTAAAAAAATATATATAAATAATCAAAATTTATTTTCTGAAAATATTAAATAGAAGACATGTCTTTTGGGTAAACACTATTAAGAAGAGTTGTGTATCTTCAACTAAAATGAAAGGGCTCGATGAACGGGTACTTTGCTGTCTATAAATACATGTTTGTGGCATAATGTTTCATACACAATTTCAGAAATTTATTTCTACATTCCTTTCTCTCTTCTCTCTCCATCACATTCATACAATTTCTTTCTAGTTATTTCTAGGGGAGTATAATTCGGTTTTGCTAATCGAATATTCCATACTTTGTTGTATACTGGAAGTGATTTGCCAAGAACCCTTTAGCAAACTCATTTGAGTGGGGGCAAATAACACTTTAAGGAAACGATTCAAGTCATACCTCAAAGTCAATCTTCGGATTATTCTCCATAATTCTACATTTTCATTAACACCTGGAAACCAAACGAGCTTAAGAAACAAAGAATCGGAATATTTAAACTTAGGACCTTGGATACAAAAGTGTATATTCTTAATCACTTGAGCTACAGTTTCTTTGTTAAACTTTTGTAGTTTGGAACGTATAATCTAATAAAAGCTTTATTTCCAAAAGAAAAGAAAGAAAATGAGGAGATAAGTTTGATTTGTACTAAATAATAGGGGTGTGATATTCACACATTCCTTGTTAACTTCTCACACACCTTCTTAATTTTCAACCGTGAATGAATTAAAAAAAAAAATCAAAGGACAAAAATAATAATGCTTAAAAGGTCGTCCAATGTTAGTTGTGTAAAAATCATATTGGGTGGGGAAAATATTTATATTTTCAATTTAAATGAGCCTGTGGAGCTTTGTTTTTTTTTAATTTTTTTATTGTCTCTTTATTTTTTGATACACACAGGAGACGTGTGGGGCTTATCAAAAGATTCTTTGTTATTTAATTCACAGTCTAGTTGTATTATGTTTTATTACTAAAACATATAGGTTTAAATCTTGTTGACTAATGGGGCCGAACCAAATAATTATAGTTAATGTTTTGTGGTGATCATTTTTAGTGTAAATTCTATCGTTATAATTTTTATTTTTATTTTTTTTAAGTCATGCTGCTTTATAACAGTTGAATACAATATTGCAATAAGTGCGAATAGTGTCATAATTTCGGGGGAGACTAATAGCGAAACTTTTGTTGAATTCAAGGACATAAATGGATGGAATTTTTGTTCTAGGACATATTCTAAAGTCGGGTGCAAGCTCAGGGAAGAATTCTCATTTTCACCTTTTTAAATCTTTCTTTGCTTATAAAAACAGATGAATACTTGTATTATGTAGAAAGATGTGCAAATGTATTTGTTGGTAAATTCAAGTTGTTAGGATTTAGTGTGAGCCATTGGACCATAGTCCTTTTAGTCTCTTAGATTAGATTTCATTGAGTCATTGCTCATGACAAGTGTAATCATCTCATAAAGTAGCTTAAGAGTGAATAGCTAGGATGATTTTGTATGATATGATAGAGTGAGAGAGTGTGGTGCTCCTCCTCTAACGGTAACATATTCTTTGCATGCATATTGGATTATTAGTCTATGTGGTGATAGAATAGTTGGAAGATAGCACATGTGGTAAAAAAAAAAAAAGAATTTAAGCCATAGTGGTGAAGTTTATTAGTATTTATGCCCAAAATTAAAACTTCCATCAACTCTCCGTTAATTATTAACATGTGAGCTACACATATTAGGCTAAAATGGAATTCTCTATCAATTGTTAGCATGTGGAGCTTACATATGAGGATAACTTTATTTTTTTAGTCTCAAATGTGAGCTTCATGTGCTAACAATTAACGGAGAGTTGACGAAATTTTCAATTTTGAGCCTAAATCCAAATAGACTTCACCACAGGGGCTTAAATCCTCAATTTTTTTTTTTTAATCACAGTAGCTATCTTCCAATTATCCTATCACCACATGGACTATACTGTTTTTAATTCAAGTTGTTAGGATTTAATGTGAGCCATTAGATCATAGTCCATGTGGTCTCTTATATTAGATTTCATTGAGTCATATCTCATGACAAGTGTAATCATCTCAAAAGATGACTTAAGATTGAACGGCTAGGATGATTTTGTATGATGTGATGGAGTGAGAGAGTGATTTTACATGAAACGGGTACCCCCATGCATCTGTATCGTCACGAGAGGACGGAGATAGATAGATGAGGATATATTTCGTGTCTCTCCCGCAAGACTCAGCTACACACTCAAGAAGCACCACGGTGTCATGTTTTCGATCCTACTGAAGGACCGCGCGGGTTAGGCGAACATGATCCCCGAGGCATAACCACAGAATAAACATCAAAACAATGGCCTCAGCATGCTACTACTTGTATGCCCTTGTCCAAACGGGTACACAATATATCAGGATTCCCAAACCAAACGAGCTGCATATCGTAGCCATGGCATATGCGTATGCTCTCCAAGGGTATTTGCTTTCTCTCATCGCATTGAACTCAGCAATGAAGGTAGAAACAGTACTCAGGCAACCCAAAAATCCAAATTGTATGCCTGTTACAACAACGTCGCAAGTCCTAGTATCCACCTGCACAAACAAATAGTTCTGCGCGTCAGATTTTCTATTAAAAAGGAAAAAACCGTGGGCATGGATCAAGACAATGTATGACAAAGGTAATGCAGTTGGAAAAACATTGCAAAAGAAAGTAGTACAGTTCAAGAATTCCCCAAGAAGCATTATAATATGACAACTATATGTGAACCGTACGCTTGCTGGACACGAGACAATAACACACGAAAGGTAATGGTGAGGATGAAGTCATGGAGTGGATGTGGACAGAGATCATATCATAAGAGCTTACTGCTTTCTTCACAGTAGACAGGGCTGCCATTACACAAGCTGCAGAAACATTGGCAATTAAAGTACCAAATGGAACCCATTTCAACAAACCCGTCTTTCCTAATCCACGTCCATTAAGCCGGGCTAAGAACCACCGGATCCACACACCAAAAGGTCCAACTATGCAACCCAACCATAGTTGCGCCTCGCTGCTGCTACTGTTAAACTCCTCTCTTAACTGTATTCCACCTATACTCCACAGAGAACTTAGCATCAGCAACAACACTGCTAAAGCTACCAAGTGACGCTTGTAGCTGTCAACCCTCCACCTCCTTCTAGAGCTGGTAATACCACAGATTGAGTTCCTCTCAAGAATCTGCCTAAAACCCTTTGCTGTCTCTACCCCAAAAATGATGGAGTAGGCCACAAGAAACAAACCTGACATCCGTCACATAAAAGAGGATCTCATATTAGTCCAGTGATTTGAGCAACATTGGGTTTGTGATTTACCCATGGATAAGTTTCGAATAGGCTCAAAGAAAGAAACCAGCTAGATTGAAATAAAATTTTGAATATCCTGCTTGCCAAAGCGATCTACATGTCTACTGCAGCAATTCTTTAGAATATGACATCTTACCTATCAAAAAGCCGAGCAGAGCAAAAACCCAATGTCCTTCAACACTGAGTTCAACCATTTTCTGGTTCCAACCACTGAAAGTTGTAAGGCTTCCCAAGTAACCAGTTGATAATCCGATGAGCAAATAATCTGACACATAGGATATATCTCCTTTGAAAACAACACCAAACCACCCCATCAAGAAAGAGCCAACCTACAAAAATGCATTAGAAACAAAAATTTGAGTTGGAACATCATCCAGCATTTTCGGCATCACAACCCTTAAGGAAATATGGCATAAAAAAAATTAAAAGATGATGGGAAAAAAGTATGGAAAGAAAGGTCTTAAGAAACTTGATAATACTTCGGTGATCATCGTACTGTGTGCATCACAAGTCCCTCCCAATACTCATAAGTAACAGCTTTACAGAAAACATGTTTATTAACACAACACTACCGAATAAAGGGCATAATCATTTGTGTGTGTGTGTTCGTGTGCATGAGAGAGAGAGAGAGAGAGAGAGAGAGAGACCATATTAGAAGGAAGATCAAGGTAGAGAATGGTTTCGTCGCCTGTTACACCTACAAGTCCAGGGCCAAACAATTTTTGCAGAAGATATCTCGTTAAGACCTGCATACTGTAGCATGTCAAATAATCTATTTAACATCTAGGTATCCAGATTTGAAGAAAGATCTAAGAAGATGTATTACAGTGACATATTCAATTTTTTCAAGACAAACAGAAATATGAACATGCCAGTGCATGATCAAACATTTTTGAGAACATAATAACTTATATAATTTTAGAGTACAATAGACCGGATACAATTTGTCAGCATACCAATTACACAGATTTTCCACCAAAAAAAAAGCAAGAAAAAGTTCGCAATACAATTTGCCAAACGAATGCAACAACAGCTATAAACCCAACACATATTAGGACTCAAACAAAATGTACATCGGTATATAGTAAGAAACAGAGTTAACTGTGTTACCCCAAGAATGCCAAAAACTGCTAAATGAGTCATGCATGAACCATATTCAAAGAATTTTGGCAACCTTATTGCATTTTCCTGCATACCAAAAGAAAATAATTTAAGTTACTACCATGATTCAACAAAAAGAAAAAGAAAAAACTCTTAACATGTTATGATCAATGAAAAAGAAAACCAAATCTCCTGTCCATGTTCAAGGATCTCCAACAAAGATAATATACACTACGAAACGTATCAACCGAAAGCTCACGGGTGTTGGGTCCTCGGATATCATCGCATCAGTGGAAAGAGGAGATATGATTTCCTCTGGCAAGGGAGTGACAGGGGAAATTCCTTTGGATGCAACAAGGTCACGACCCCAGAATCCATAGGATTGCAGTTGAACATCCTCTGAAGGAAACAAGCAGACGCTGCCACTCTCACTGTGCCTGTTGCTGTGAAGAGCCCGATCGCCAATATCTCCTGCCTCTGACACACTTTCACTTTCATTGTCATCATCTATTTGAGAAGGCTGAACATGTGATAAACTTAAGGACCGCCTCCTTAATGAAGAAGTGGCTCTGCTTGTTCGATCATTGGATACGCTTCGTCTGAGTTCAGTGTCATTAGTCCCACGGTACCCTTCCTCCATAACCACAGCACTTGATTTCTCTTGAAGCGACTTCACAAATAATAACAATAAAATCCGAATGTTGATTATTCAGAGAGCTAAAAATGAGAGGAACAAATGCAGTAGAGAAAATAATGCAATTACTGTGCTACAAGCGTTGAAATGCTATAGTTTGTACTTTGGAAGGAGCCCTACACCACTCCGTGTGTCAAAATAATCAAAAGATTTGTATACAAACAAACGGCGACAACTCCTTCAGCTTCAATAAGAATAAGCCAAGATCTCAAAAACCGAAAAAAAAAAAATACATATGAAGTATAATGACAGAACTGTTACACTGCGGAATTTTGTTTAACCACAGAAAAAAAAAAAATAATTGCTCAAGCAAATGCAAAGGCCCGCCAACTAAATGAATCATAAAGTAAATTTCAGTGCCAAACAAATCACAGAATTTTTCTCAAAAAAAAAAAAGACAAATCATCACAAAATCCCAGCCCGGTCTAACATTGTCATGGATTTCAACTATCCCAATAGCAGCGCCTGATGAATTTAGGATCCTGACACAGTGACATCTGGTTATAACTAAGGTCCAAAAGGGACTAAATCTTTTTGATTTATTACTACTAGGTAGCAAATTGAACAAGTTGGGGCCCAATAAAAAGTTGTTTCATAACATCAAATTAGAAGCAGTAACTGTTTAATAAGCACTCATCTCATTTCTCTAAGGACGTGTCCTCCACTAAAGAACCCAAAACATAAAAAACCAGAAAAGCAAAAAGATGACATTTTCATTGGTTGTGAACTGTTAAATTATGCACAAACCAATCAGCAGGTGAAACATTTCAGAACCCAGAATTATAAAACAATCTCATATTCTAATAACACAAGTTTAAGGTGCAAGATAGACGCATTGAAGTAAAATTAATACGAGCTTAAAATAGAAACGAGAAGAAAACGTCAAAACTCAGAGAACTTGGAAGATTAAAATATAGAGAGAAAGGGGAGTTTAAGGTACCATTGATTCTTTGAACGCGGAAAGAGGTGCCCAGATTCCTTGAACGCAGAAACGCGAAAGGGCGAGTGTGGTGTTGAATGGCGGCTGGAGAGGTTGAAGGCGGCCGCAATGGGAGGAAGACAGAAAAACAAATTAAGCAGAACAAAAGATGATTGTGGGATTGAAAAGTGGAAGTCGGAAGGTTCTGAGAGAGACGGAGAGAGAGATGAATGGGGTTTTGGGAGGCAGGGCACCGCACGGCTGCTGTTCACACGTTTTGGTTTGGCGTTTGCTACGTGAATAACAGATCGAGTTTTGGCCTTTATTTTACCATTTCTTCTTTTTACAAGAGCAACTCAAGTGTGAGAGCCTTTTTTCCAGTCAATTCACTATTCAATCCATCTGTGAACAGTAATTGTTCTTAATGTATAGTAATCGTCTTTTGCATCTCCACCCCTACACTAAATAACCTTGGCAATTGATAATAAAATATTAGTATTTTTTTATTTATAAAATAATACAAAATAATTTTTAATTTTTTTCCTTCGCCTTTTTCCTACTTCTCTTCCGTTTCAACTTTTTTCCACAACACTCTTCCTTTTCATTTTTTTTCCAGAAACTCTTCCTTTTCCTATTTCCTCTCTCTCTCTCTCTCTCTCACACTCACATATGAATCACAAAATGGACCGACTCTTCCTTTTCCTATTCCCTCTCTCTCTCTCTCTCACACAAACACACACACACACATGAATCACAAAATGGACTGACGCCAAGGCATAAGCTCAGATTCCGATCCATATATCCTTCCTTTTGCTTTTCATCCTTCTTCTTCTTCGAAAATGAAGCAAATCAAACAAACAAACTTTGAATTCTCAATCCCCTGGTTGAAAGGAACTCGAATATATCCTTGCATGCATCATCAGAGCACCATTTGGGTGATCCACCATTGAAGCTGAGAGCTTCAAGCTTCCATTGCTCAAACCCAAATGAGGTTATTGCACTACTTCAATTGCTTGAGTTATTATCTGGTTTTTTATGTGTTTCGAGTTGAAATCTTTGGGTTTAGTCATTGCCATTCGTCTGTGGGTGTATCGGCGACGAACTCCGGCGAGCCGGAGTTCTGGGTTTTCATTTTTTAAATTTTTTTATTAATTTATTAAATTTATATTAATATTTTATATTTATATTAATTTTATATTACGGTTGACGTCGTCCTGACGTTAGCCCACGTCACATTCCCTTCGGGTTCTCGGGCTAGCAATCCCTGCCGGGCCTATCACTCGGGCCTGGCCTGTCCCTCGTGCTGGCATACGCTGGACCTTATCCCCCGGCCTATTTGGCCCTGTTCCATCGCCAGTCCACCGGGTAATACACCACGATGGAACTGCTCTAATTGGTTTGAGTATTTAATTGTCTTGTTAAATAAGTTAATATAAAATATACAATTCAATTCACTTCTTTACTTGTCTTTTCATTATTTAATTGTCTTTTATATAAATTTAAATTACCTATATGTGTGCGTCTCCTGATTTTTTTTCAGCTAGCGGGTCCCTTTAAGAGTAACGCTCGACTGACTAAATTTTTAAATCAAATTTTATAAATAAAACGAGTTGGATATTGATGATTTGATTATTATTTAAGTGTTGATTAACGTATTGATTTCATATTAATGAGACATTATTTGGTTTGCAAATTTGATATAAAAATTTGATAACTCAAACATTATCCCTTCTTTAAAGTAAAAATTAAAAAAGATGAACACCCACGAGAGGAAGGCATGTGATGTAATGTAACACTCACAAAAATTCCTCAATTTAAATAAGATGAAGGAACACTTGGAAGAATAAGGTAAAATGCACGCAACTGAGGGATTTTTTAATAACCATTTCGTTACACTACTTCCAGTTTTTAAGCAAATGAAAATTAAGAATTGAAAACTATTGCTTCATAGTTTTTAACTTTTTGTTCTAAAAGACATTAGGCGCTAGTCGGGTGGCAGACTGGAGTCTAACAACAAGGCAAATTTAAGATAATTTATTATATCTCATATAAATAAGTGTCAAACATATGACATAAAAGTATTAGTTAAGTAATACACAATCCTTTTATTAATTAAAATACTAAGTGACACAACTTAATTGGACAACAATCGAAAAAAAATAAGCAAAATATAACATGTAAAATACATATTCTTTGAGCAGACGATATTATCTACATTAAAAGGAGATGGGGTGGGCTTAACCTCATAATGAACTAACAATAATATTGGTCAAATACCGTAGTACAAAGTAGCAACATGTAAAATACATATTAACATAGCGATAATAACTAATATTTTAAACCGTTGAAAATGGATAAGCATATTTAACACCAAACTCGAGATTACACGGCTACAATAACTCATGGGTACACACTAATAGTAAATTTAATATTATATTAATATTCAGTAAATAGATATTGAAAATGAAATGGTTCTTAAATAGGGGATAGGATTCTCTCCAAATCCTTTTTGTGGGAATTCGAAGAATCAATCAATCATGTCTATTCATTACATCATGCGGTTAAAAATTATTTAAAATTTAAAATTAAATATAAATAGTATTTAACGGCCGCACGATGTACGATGAACAAACACGATTCATTGATCCCCGGATCCCCACAAAGAGAATCTGGAGAGGATCCTTGTCCCTGAAATAGTCCTTAAAATAACCCTTTTTGAATTGTTTTATATATTTATTCTCCTTTTCTGTTTTCTCCGTCTCTTTCACTTCTTGCTACTAGGTTGTAACTGTTTTGTTTAAGGGCTTAGCCTTTGAATCCGAGATTCCCTTTCGGATAATTTAGATAAAATTTAGAGACTTTAATGACAAACTCCCGGTACTGTTCACTTTAACGAAAAACTATATTTTTACACTAAAATATCAATTCTGGTACTTTCACTTTACCTTTTATTTTGTCCTTATCATTAAAACTCAAAGTTTTCAAGCTCTTCTCATTAGTTTTCTTTAAAATTTAGTATAAATTATCTTATTGTTTTTTTTTTTTTTGGTCAAAAGTACTTTTTATTACAAAAAAAACTTTACAATCTGACAAAAGCCCAAGGCTAACATATTAACAACCAAAAAAGGGGCCACAACAGACCAACACATCCCAAAAGCTAAGATACAATTAGGCCCAAACGCAAAACACGAACACCGAACCTAGAAACTTCTACTGTCTCCTTCGCTGCCAGAGGTCATCCCAAGCCGTCCAATTCCTCTTGCACATTCAAGCAATACCTCACCAAATGCCACATCAAATTCCAATCTGCTACTTGTGCACAGCCATACAGTAAGGATAGCCAGCAACCAAACAAGAGAAGCCAACTGTCGAGATGAATTTCGTGGAGATCTGCGAACGACACTGCCGAAAAAGGCAGATAACAAGAAGAAACTGGTGGTGTTGGAAACACCCAAGCCAGTGAAGCCACTGGAACTCTACACATAATCTCAGTAGGTTGTATGGCTGAAGATCGGAATATGGATGAACACATAGGATAGATATCGTCTGGGAAGGAGAAACCGGACATAACAGTATAACAACCAAGGCTAAAAAATAGTAGGAGTAAGGAAAACAGATAAGAAGGAAAGAGAGGGGAGGACGGCGATCGACTCGGCCGAAGCTAGGGTCGGCGCCACTGGTTTTACTGAAATTTAGAGGCCTCACACGAAAGGGTGAGAAAAACTCTCAAAAAGGGAGAATGACTCTCACTAAAGAGAAAAAAACCTAGGTTTTAAAAAATATATATAATAGTCTCTAATTATCTTATTGTTTATATAAAATATAATGGAGAGCTGATTAGTTCTCTGAAATATCACCGCAATGAAAATCAGATATTTGAATTATTTTTTTCGATAAAATAAGTCCCTAAATTCATTAAAAATTGTTAATTTCATCCATACTATTATGTTCAAAGCAATTTTATCTAATTTTTCATCAACTTAAATCACTTAACGCAGTTTAGAATGTAATACCGTCATTTTCTCGCCTATAAGCCCTTCACATTTTATATAGATTGGCAATCTAATGTCTAATTTACCCTCCAAAGTTAACTCCACTTACTATTTCTTTATGCAAAATTTCTAATCTACCATTCAATGGCCATTACATGCAAGTAACGTAACTTAAATTGACAAAAAATTGAATAAGTAGCTTCGAATCTAATATTAGGGATGTAATTGACAAATTTTTATAATTCAATAACTAATTTTTCTGAAAAAAAAAATAATTTAGGAATATAATTTTTACTCAAGTGATAATTCAATGACCAAACTAACAGTTCATCCTATAAAATAATCTATCACTTCATTCTTTTTTGTTTTCTTTACCTTTAATTTTGAGAAGAAAAAAGGTGACCAACGAAATAAGAAACATCTTGATTTGTTCATCTTAAGTTGTACACGTTCATGTAAAGACGCGTGAAAAGTTTTGATTTTGTTAGACTGAGAGATTCTGCGAACAATATCAATTTGTCGTCACTCATGATGTCCAATATGCGACTCAACCGGTGTCACAAGCGCCAGAACAAAAGAGCAAAGAAAATGAGCCATCAATTTTCTACTTTTCTTAGGAACCAATGGACCATCCATCCAACACACAACCGTTGATTACTGAACAGTTGAAACCGCTTTTGATGGTAAGGTGGTAAGGTTTTTAGGTTTCAAAAACACGTAAGTCTTTTTTGTAAGAAGTATCAATTATATACTTTTTACAGAAGTACTTTAAATGCTTTTTCAAGATCTAATTACATCTTTACTAATGAATTAATTCTAAAAATTATATATATACTAAACGCCTAACTTTCCCGTTAATTCCCTCTGTGTCATTTTTACTGTTCCTTCGCCAGTGTTATTCCCTTTTTACCCTTCAGTTATTCTGTAAGTTTAGCTTTTTGTGTATATTATACAGTAAAATGCCGTTTTTGTCCCTGCTGTGCGACAGAAATCTCTCGATTTCTTCGTGTTGTGTGCTTCCAGCATCTTTCCCTTTTCACTTTCCTCTTCTTTCCTTCTCTTTCCGTTTCTCTCATACTAGAACGGAAGAACGATGGAAAATCAGGGTTCTTCCATTTGCTTCCACAGATTTCTCGATCTCTCTCGAGCTCCGGATCCCTAGCCTCCGTATGAAGGTTCGTTTCTCCCTCTCGCTCTCACCTTTTGTTTTTTTTTTTTCAATTCGTGATCGAATTTTCTTTCCAAGAATGTTACATCTGTTGCCTTCGGGAAGAAAGTTTAAACCTAAAAAAGCTTGGTTTTCAGGAAATCGTGAATCCTGCAGAATCCTTGGGTTTCCTGGTGAGTTCTCCGGCATATTTGTTTTGGGTTTGGTTTTTGAATTCTCGTTTCTTTGTTCAAATTTTTGTGATTTTAAAACCTCTCGGTGGCTACAGATTTCATCGGCTATTTCATCAGTTTTTGGATTCGATCAGGATCGGTTTTTTACCCACGAAATCTAGAGTCTTCTGGTAAGTTTCGTCACTTTCTCCGTGTTGTTGTTTCAAATTTTGTTTTTGTGGTTTTCGATGTTCACATGGATTTTTTGTTTGAATTTTGTATTTGTGATTTAGCGGGTTGTTTTGAATTTACAGATGGCTTTTTCTAGGTTCGGTGAATTTACAGGGGAGAGGGAGAGAGAGGCCTGTTGATTTAAACTCTTTTGCTAAAAGCTTCTAATTCATCCTTTATTTCTTTTTTCCGTTGAATTCGAACTCCAATCTGAATTATGGATTCAGAAAAAACAAATTGATGAATTTTTTATTTGCATGCATGTCGGTCCTGTAACCGCATGATTTGATAATCCGACCGCAAAGCTAATTGTTTCTGTATGTTTTTGGGTTGCAGACCTGGACTGTCGAATGGAGAGGATGAAAAGCAACTGCAGGAAAGCGGCAATGGAGACCCGGCATCAGCATTTTCAAGTCAATCTGGGTAATCTCATAGCCTTCGACCCTCATCACAGATTCCCCTGCATCCCCTTCTCTAAGTTATTTTTCTTTACTTATTCAATATCTCTATTTTTTGGTAATATTTTGTATACTTCTAGGCTTTTTGAAATTATTGCTTTTGAGAAATTAATTGAAAATTTACTTTTGGAAATTGGGATTTTATTTGGATTAATGAATTTATCACACTATGCTGATGGGTTTTTGGTCAGTGGGTGAAATTCTGATTTGTTTTTTTCATGGTATTTAGGGAGGAATTAGTGAAGGAATTTATAAAGAGAGGGACCGAGTTGGTTTAAGCTATTGCGAATAGTCTTATCAACTCACATTCAACTGAAGGCATAGATGGTCCCATTGTGCACACGTTCGCTTCCTGAAACGAAAAATTGAATAAGTAGCTTCGAATTTAATATTAGGGATGTAATTGACAAATTTTTATAATTCAATAACTAATTTTTCTGGAAAAAAAAAATAATTTAGGAATCTAATTTTTACTCAAGTGATAATTCAATGACTAAACTAAACAGTTCATCCTATAAAATAATCTATTACTTCATTCTTTTTTGTTTTCTTTACCTTTAATTTTGAGAAGAAAAAGACGACCACCAAAATAAGAAACATCTTGAAAAGTTGTACACGTTCATGTAAAGACGCGTGGAAAGTTTTGATTTTGTTAGACTGAGAGATTCTGCGAACAATATCAATTTGTTGTCACTCATGATGTCCAATATGTGACTCAACCGGTGTCACAAGCGCCAGAACAGAAAAGCAAAGAAAATGAGCCATCAATTTTCTACTTTTCTCAGGAACCAATGGACCATCCATCCAACACACAACCGTTGATTACTGGACATTTGAAACCGTTGATTACTGGAAGATGTTGTACTGAATTTCACTGACTTTCTCATGATTTCAGGTTGCAACGAGTCCGTCTTCTTTTCTTTTATACAAAGTGACTACACAGAAATTCACCCTAAACAGAGATTCACCCGCCGCCTCCGCCACCGCAAAATTGGTGGAGATGACTAGCGAACAGAAAATCCAAGAGAAACCTCCGTAGAAAACAAAACTCAAACCCATCTTTGTCTCAACGCCGATGAAAAAGAGCCAAATCTGCAGATCAAGATGAACCATACCCATTCCCGTCGCCACAGTTCCGGTCCTCAACTTAAAACAAACACACAATAGACATGTGAATGCCTAGAACCAAGCAGCAACATAAAAAGGTCAGGTGGTGTAAACACCAGTTCGAAAAGATACCAGACCTTTGTAGGGGTGACAACATATAGTTGTCTTCGATTGGATAGAAGCACGGATAAAGTAGCGAGTAAGTGTTGAGATGAGATCCATCAAATATGGAGTGGATGGGTGTGAGGGGTTGGATGGTTGATTCGAAGTTTTGGAAGAGTTTGAGTGCAAAGCCCCAAGAATTAAGAAACCCAATTCCAGTTCAAATTGTCAAATCCCAATTCTACCAAGCTCAATCCCTAACAACCAAACTCCTACCACTCCACTCCGATGATCATTCTAACGACCACCTAAATTCCATCCTTCAAATTCCAAAGCAAGTTTTTCATAACTTATTCAAATTAATTTCTATTTTTTTTTAATGAGTTGGTTCAAAAAAAAAAGTTTCTTTGTGAATAATTAAATTTGATGATTGAAGTGGATCATAACGTATAGTTTTTATCTAGATGAATTGATATGTGTGTTTTAGTGTTTGTGTTGATAAAGTGATGGAAGTTTTTATTTGGACTATTGAATGAGTTAAGTTTTGTGTTGTGATTGGTTTGTATGACTTTATCAAATTTGAGTAATCCGTAACAAGAAAAGAAAAGGGCGGCCATCTGCTCCCTATGTGACATTATATGCATCTTTATGTACTTGGAATTTTATGAGTTGTCTATTACAATCCTGGTGTTGTATATTTCAACACCATGTGACATTACCTTGGATACAAAGGTGATGATGCTTCAATTGGATTGCCAATAACGTATCAAATTTGAGTAACCATGTGAGTGCCAATAAATATGATTTATTGATTTCTTGTCAATCAATTAACTTGGTTAACAAGTTAGTTGGTGTTGAGGAAATTATGGAATCTTGTTTTAATTAAGATTTGGAGTCCTTATTTTGTGCAACTAATCAAGAGGCCTTATTTGGTTAGACAAAATATCAATATCAATTAGGACTCTAATGTTATCCTATGATTTGGCAAATCCCCACTAATCAGTTAAAGGCCGGATTAGTGGGAGTATTTTCACTATACATAGGCAGGCCTTGCTTTCACAAAATACTTGTTCGATTCTGAGCAAACCCTATTATTGTTGGAGCACTTCTGCTTGCTGAAAGTAGAAGACTCCTTCAAAACCCTGGCAATCATGGCTTCTTCTTCCTCCAGTTTATCTCCCTTTTATGTTAGTTTGGTGTATCGTATTTGTGATCCAAATGTCTTGTTGTTCTTATGATTTCAGAAATATCTTAATATGGTACCAGAGCAATACAACAAGCTTGGGTCTGATTAATAGATAATTTGTTAAATCGAAAATTTGTAGACAAATAATATTACAAAAGCATAACTTGTGTTTATCGTTTGGTTTGATATCTTTTCTAATCAATCATTTGAGACTTTATAAACATGCTTCCGCAATTTTGTATCAAAATTACATATTAATTAAGTTTCGAGCACTGGCGTCAGTGATCATGGTTTGGATTCTTGGCCATAACGACTTTTCTTGCCAAATTAAAATTTTGATTTAATTATGCTTTCAGGTTAAATTCCCTTATATATTTCTTTTTATTTTTGGATTGCGTTACTGGGTTTGATTCATCTGTTTGGGAATGATTAATTCTACATTCTTAGTGTTATCAGTGTGTTTTCAGGGTTTGGCTGGATTCATGGCAATTGTTTCTTTTAACAATTTTAAAAGTTTGGACAGGATTATATTTGAAGGTTTGTGAATTCCTGAGTATTTGTTCTTAAGGATTGTTTTGTTGATTCTTAAGTTGTTGACAAATATTTTATGGATGTTGATGGATTTTGATATCTCCTCTTAACTCTATTGATCTGCTTTTGAGTATTCGGTTTTCTGATTTGGTGTGGTGTAATGATTCCCAAGATGTTCTGGATTGAAAAATTGGTTCGGATAGGGTTTCGATTTGAGCAAAAAGATTCTCTACTTACCATCAGTTATCTCTTTGAACTTTATGATATGATGATTGAGAAATTTTAATCCTTGTATGTGCCCAAATGAATGGAGCTTTGTTTTTAATTTTCAGGTGTGGTTTGAGGATGCAATTGCATAAATGTCTAATATATGAGGGGTTAGGTATTGTATTTGGCTAATATTTTAATGGTGATCTTGTTTAATTGCTCAAAGGTTGGATTTATACTCTTCTATTTTCGCGATATAAATCTTTTATTGTCTCCCTCAAATTTGCACTCTGATGTTTATTTCCTCCCTTTCATTCAAAACTTGTGCTAAACTTTTTCCCTTATATTAACATATAATTAAAAAGAATTAGAATATTTTTTTAATACCAAATCTTGCAATTCTGATGCACTTTAGTTATGTTGACAAATTTGACATCACTACTACAAAATCATTTATTAGTGTCGCTATGATAACCGACAAGAAACATGTATTACTATTGGATATTAAGCAAAATCCGACAGAAAATGGATGCAATGACGGATATAATAAGCGACATATCTTCCAATGTCAAGAAATGAATTTTCCGACAGAAAATACTCTAAAACCAACAAAAATTGTGTCGGATATAACCGTAAAAAATTGTGTCTGTGACAACCCGTTCCAAATTTTACGTTTTTATTTTATTTTAAAAGCGTGAATTTATGAAATTGCCCTAGAGGCAAGGACTTTGACTTCCGTTGACCATCGACTTGAGAGATGTGGGACTTATTCTTTTAGCATATCCTCGTAGTACTCATTGGTACGAACGTATAGGCGAAAGCCGTTTGTGAGTCCGGATTATAACGGTATAGTTACAGACGTTCGAAATTGGTTATTCAAGGTTTAGTGTTTATTTAAATTAAATCCCCACTTTGTGGGGGAAGTCCAATCAGAAATGAAGGGAGGAAAGGAAAAAAAAAAAGAAAAAAAAAAAAGTAGAAAAGGTAGTGGTTCCCGTCCACCCGCACCCACCGCGTAACCATTTTCCAAGGCCGATTCCGGCCAACTCCGGTGGAGTTTTTCGATGCCACCACCACCATCTTGAAGCTCTCATTCCCCTCTACAAAACCCACCCAAGAACCACCTTGATTAACCATGGTATGGGGCGGTTTGAGGCCACGAAAGTTGATGAAAATCAATGGTGCTCCGGCCACCCTTTTCGATTTTCCGGAAAATCGGCAAAGCGATGGCCGATGCCACCACTTGAGCTTTGTAGCCCATCATCCCAAGAGCAAAACCCAACCAACCTTGACCCCGTTGGACCACCGTAGACGACGAATCGACGTCGGGAAGTTTTAGGCACCCGCCGGCTTTGTGGGCAAAATTGGCCATCTTCCGTCCACTTTTGGACTTCGTGGCAGGTATGAAAGTTTCTCCACTCACTGAGATCTTCATTACTGTGAAGTTTTAGAATTTTTGGAAATAGTTGGAGTTTCCGGCTAGTCGGGGTGGCCGACCGCCACCCGCGGCGGCGCGTGCGGCGACGCATGGCCAGTGGGCCGCCAATGCTAT